AACAATACAGTTCTCAAGGGTTGCAAGTCTCATATTCCCTTGTAGGGGTTTAAACAGCCCCCCCATTAACAACATATTGTATCCTTCTGTCCCATTTACCTTTTTAAGTCCTTCTTGAGTCCTGTACTTGAAGATCAAATTTTTTGTTGAGCTCTGGTCTTTTTATCAGGAAAGTTTGGAAGTCTCCTATTTCATTGAATATCCTCCTCCCTTGAAAAATGATGCTCATTTTTGCTGGGTAATTGATCCTTGGCTGCATTCCAAGCTCCTTTGCCTTAGGAATATCATGTTCCATGCCCTGCGGTCTTTTAATGTAGAAGCTGCAAGGTCCTGTGTAATCCTGACTGTGGTTCCATGATATTTAAATTCTTTCTTTCTGGCTGCTTGCAGCACCTTCTCTTTCATCTGGTAATTTTGGAATTTTGCTATTATATTTCTTGGCATTGTCAATTTGGGATCTCTTTCAGGTGGTGATCGTGGATTCTTTCTATGGTTATTTTCCCTTCTGGTTCTAGGACTTCTGGGCAGTTTTCCTTTATGATTTCCTGAAAGATACTGTCCAGGCTCTTTTTTTCATCATGATTTTCAGGTAGTCCAATAATTTTTAAATTGTCTCTCCTGAGTCGATTTTCCAGGTCGGTTGTTTTACTGATGAGGTATTTTAGATTTTCATGTTTTTTTCATTTTTTTGTTTCTGTTTGACTGATTCTTGCTCTCTCATAGAGACATTAGTTTCCATTTGTCCAATTCTAGTTTTTAACAGATTGTTTTCTTCTGTTAGTTTTTGTACTTCCTTCTTCAACTGGCCAATTGTGTTTTTTAGGGACTTGTTTCTTCAGTGTACTCTTCTGTTAGTTTTTGTCCTTCCTTCTTCAATTGGCCAATTGTGTTTTTTAGGGACTTGTTTTCTTCAGTGTATTTTTTTTCCAATTGGCCAATTGTATTTTTGAAGGACTCTTTTACCTCTCTCATTTGACTATTAAAATCCTTCTTGAGCTCTTCTAAGAAGGCTTTTTGGGCTTCAGACCAGTTCATATTCCCTTTTGTTGTTGCAGATGTGGGTTTGTTGACAATGTTGTCCTCTTCAGAATTTCTGTCTTGATCTTCACTCTTCTCATAATATGAATCTATGGTACGTTTCTTTTTACTCATGGTGTTTCTTTATTCCCTGGCCTTTAAAGAGATTGAGCTCTCCTGCTGGGGAACAGAGGGTACTGACCCAAGCTTCTTGTGTTGGGAGCCTAGGTCTTGGTCACTGGCTTTGCGTGCTGGGGCCTCTTATGCTGGCAATTGGAGGCTGTAGGTTTCTGGCAGCTTACCTTGTGTTGGGCTGGAATCAGCAAGGCTGGAACTTTCAGGCAATTCTAGGTTGCCTGCTTTTCCTTTCCTTTAGCTTTCTTCAGCTCCTTTTAGATGGGTGCTGCAGGATGTTTATCTGCCTGGGGCCCCTTGCAGTGTTGTCTCCCTCATTTCTGCTAATGCACAGGAGATTCCTTTGCAGTGGAGTGCCGAGGCTCCTGGTGGTTTTCTGAGCTGGTTTCCACCGGTTCCCTCCGCCCTCACTGAGGCACTCGGAGGTCCAGGTGTTGGTGTTTGCCTGCTCTACCACCTGGGCTTCAGGATTTCTTCACAATTGGAGGCTTCAGGGCTCCTACAGCTCACCTGGTGTTGGGTTGGAATCAGCAAGGCCAGGGCTTTAGGAAGCCTTTAGGTTGTTTTCTTCACCTCCTTTCAGATGAATGCAGGGTACTTATCGCTGGGGCCCCTTGTAGTTCTGCCTCCCTTTTTTTTGTCTGAGGCACTGGGAGACCCATTTGCTGGGCTGCTGCACTGCTGCTTCTTGTCTTTCTTCTAGTTCAGGTATTCCAGGGGTTTTTTTTCTGGGGTGATATTTTCTGGGTTTTCAGAGGTTGATAGGGGAGAGTGAGAGCGACTACCTTTTCACTCCGCCATCTTGGCTCCTGGAAGTGGAAGTCTGACCTTTGCCATTTTCTAGTCCTGTCCTACCTCTTATTAATCTTCTTTCAGAAGTCATCAGTAACTGTAAATCATAATCACCAGTTCTTTTAGCACCCAAAGATGTAGGTTAGCTGGGTCTGGTGCATGGAAATCATCAGAGATAGCTAATTGCCTACTTGTTATTTTCCAACTTATCTTGGCTGTAAAGTCTCTATTAACAATTTTCGTTCTATCACATGCAGCCTAAGTTCTTAAAGTGTGGCTAAATCTTAATTTTACCTTAATTTCACAAAACTAAAAGCACAACTCATCTGATGTCATTAACTAATTCTGAAATATCTAAACTCCCTAAAGCACAAGTCAGCAGCCAACACAGTTGTGTGCAAGCACGCTTTGACATTTGCTACCTCATGTAGTGGGGACAGGTAGGTGGCAGGGTGGATACTGGGCTTGGAATCAGAAAGACTAATTTTCATGAATTCAAATCCAGCCTCAGACACTTACTAGCTAGGTGACCCTGGGCAAGTCACTTAACCCTGTTTGCTTCAGTTTCCTCATTTGTAAAATGAGCTGAAAAAAGAAATGGCAAACTGCTCCATTATCTTTGCCAGGAATATCCCAGATGGGGGTCACAAAGAGCATGAAACAACTGAAAAACAAAACCTCATGTGGTAAAATCTTGAATATCAGGAACACTCAATGAAGTAGTTATTCTCGATAGCTGAGTGTTCTAGACAGTTGAAATGTGTTCATTTCATACCAGAACTTTTGTTTTAAGGGTGGGGTTGGAAGGTAGAAGGGTTGAAGAGATATTTCAATCATTTTCCATAGAAATTTCTCTGCAAAGAGTATGATAAGTTTTTTCTTGGCTTCAGGCTATCCATGTATTGTTATATAAATATCAGTTATTGTAGTGTGCTATAAAATTTTGTAAGCTCCACTAAGGTATAAACGAAATAATTTTTCATCTTTCTATTCCTAGTGCCAAGCACAGTGCACTAAATATAGTGGGTTCTTAATAGCTGTGTGTTGAACTAGATACCCTCATAATGTATTCAGATACTTAGGAATTTTTGCCCTTACCTCTGCAAAGAAAGGAGACAGGTACATTTTTTTCATTTTTTCTTGGGCCATGTTTGGTCATTATAACTTTTTGTAAAAACTTTTTGTGATTTTCTGTCTACTCTCTTGTTGCTCCTCTCTTGGTTTGCACTTGTGATCCATTCTGTGAGTTTGGAAATGAGTTAATTTCATGTAAGATTTCCATATAAAAATCTTGTTATAATTTTGTCATTTAGAAGTAAATAGGCTGTGAGTAAGCCCAAGAGGCTGTCCTTTGAGAGGAAAGTGATAACTTTGAAGCTTGAACTTTGTGAGAAATCTGTAAGCTGCTCAGAGATCTTTACTTATTCCCTGGTTCCAGTTGTGTCCTAAATAGTTAAGCTTAGGGGCAGGTAGGTAGTGCAGTAGATAGAGCTCTGGCCTTGGAGTCAGGGGGATCTGAGTTCAAATCTGGCCTCAGACACTTGACACTAGCTGTGTGACCCTGGGCAAGTCACTTAATCCCCATTGCCTCACCCAAAAAAAAAATTCTGTTCTAGTTGCTTAAAAAAGAAAAGTTTAAAAAAAATAGTTAAGCATAATTATCTCTTGGTGATAATGTCCATATCTTGAATATGTGTTCCATTAACACAATATCAGAGTCCATTTACTTAAATGTCATAGATAACTTAAAATCTTCTCATATACTCATAATGCTCATGGCATTCCTAAAGATTACTACTTGATTTGACCAATGAAAATTTAACAATAAATGTAGTTCTAAATAGTAAGCATAGTTTTTCTCAAATTAGATGTGTCAAATACTTTAAAAACTGGTAGGATTTTAATTTATAGATCCTCTTTCAAAGGTGGTATGTGCTTTCATTAGTAAATAAGTATAGAATATTGTGCATGGATTTGTTAGAGGTTCTTAAACAGAGTCTTAAAGAACTTTCCCCAAAAAATTTGGCTGACTTTTTCTTTCTGCATCAGGGGTTGGCAGACTTTCAAAATTGTTATGTCAAGATTCTTATCCCAATTTTTCTGACCCCTCAGATTGAGGGTAAAGAGAGGGTTACTCAGAGTTAATAATAATTTAATAGCTAACATTTAATTATAAAGCACTTTAAGGTTTGTAGAGCTCTTACATATCTCTTTTGATTTTCACAGCAACCCTGTGAGTTAGGTGCTATTATCCATTTTAGAGATAATGAAAGGGAGTCTGAATGAGATTAAGCTATTTGCCTTCAGTCATCTAGCTAGTGTCTGAGACAGAATTTAAACTCCAATCTTCTTGGTTGTAAGTCTGACACTATCGACTACACTACCTATATGCTTAAGAGTTGTCCTTACACTTAGATCTTCATGATAAAAAAATAAGGGAACAAGAAAATCTTACTTAATTTTTAAAAATTTTTACTTAGCCTAAAATCCTATCAATTAAAAGTTCTTTTTGTGTTGCACTCTTTTTAAACGTCCTCCTTCTCAAGAATTAAAGGAGGGGTATCAATCATGAGTATAAAGTATTTTAAACAAATTTCTGTCTTCTAACACATAGTTGAGTTCAGTATACCAAAGAAGGAAAGTTTGGATTTGTGGGGTGTCTTAGATAATTTTAGGTCATAAAGCCTTGGACACATAGGAAATAACACAAAAAGGGAGGTAGAAAGGTACGAAGCAAACTTTGCCACCTTTGACATTTTGCTAAGTGTTGATACCGTATGCTTTTGTGTATTTGGGTAGAGGATGACAACAAGAAGTGGTGAGAGGTCATGGTTCTTTTGAAGAAGGATTAGTTGGTGACTTGTGCTGTATTGTAGGGGTCAGATAGATTTTCAAGAGTGATTTACTTCTAAAGTCATAAGTATTGAAGAAATTGTTTTATTGAGGATTACTGGAGTCTTCCGAAGTAACTCTCATAAATACTGTAGTTCTGACCAAAGTTTTATCATGCTTGACATAACTATCTTGTTGTGAAGTTTCATTTTTTTTTCTTTCAGCGTACCTCATTTCAGAACTAGAAGCTGCCAGAATGCTGTGTGTGAATTCTCCTCCCAAAAAAGCACAAGAAGGAGGTGGTAGTGAGGTTTTTTCAAGAGTTGAAAGGCATATGTATTGCTTTGGGAATGTCAAAACCTCCAGCCAATATAACCATGTTCCAGTTCTTCAGCGGCATAGAAAAAAAAGTAAGATTTTTGTACCAAAATACAGTGCATTAAGGGAAACCTAGTTATTTGTCTGAAGTGAATCAATGAATTTTTTCCAAAGAGACAACTTTTTTTATCTTCAGTGAATTTTGGGTTCAGATGTTAAAAATAAGTTGTTATTTTTGTTGTGGTTCTTATAACATGAATGTTGGAGTTACAGTATTGTTTCTTTTTCAAAATAAAAATTCATTGATGTCCTGTTTTGCAGAGTGTTTTGATTTAGTGGTCATCTTCATTATTATGAAATAGTAAAAATTGTGCTTTGAAATATTTTTTCCCCCTGCATGCTATCATTTAAAAATTTGTAAAGAAAAAAACATTCAAAAAATCTTTTTTGTTTTCTTTACTTCTTCCTCTCAGGTAAAAATAATTAGGATGTTAATACTTAAATTTCCTCAGTTCAATCACTATTGTGTCTTATGTGCTTTATTTGTAAATAAGGTTTTTCAAGTAATAACAGCCTCGTGTATAAGCAAACGTATACTTAAAATGTCACAGATTTGTGGAGCAGAAGAGAATAAAGATATCACACATTTTTTTTCTCCTTATGCTTTTCTTAATGCACTACTTTTAGTCTGCAAATTAAGTATAAATAAGAATACAATAAGAGGTGCCATAATAAAATAATGTAGGAATGGTTCCCAGTACAAAATTGAGCCCTGATTTATCTACGTTACAGTTTATATATATTCTCTGATAATTGTACAGTGAAATAGACAGTGAGACAAGAGCCAGGGTAACCAGCTTTCTGGTTCCTCCCATTCCCACCCTCACCCCCCCCCTTAGGGCCTTCATTTATCTTTAGTTCATGACTACCTTTCTGTTATTAGGATATTCTGATAAAAGGATATGTGAAGAATCTTTTGAAGGTGGGGAAAATCTTTAACTCGTTTTATTTATTTACTTATTTCAGTTAAAGGAAACATTAGCAAAAGTTCCTCCTAATCATGTGGGAAAGCCTTTGTTGAAGAAAACAATGGGACCAGCTCACTGGGTAAGTACAGGTTCATTTGGAAGTAAATTGGTAGACCATGATACATTTTGTGTTTTTGACATTAGAAAGCATGCTTTTTGAACTTTTTTCTTAAAGTAACTCTTTTAATGAGTACTGTGTCTAAATCTAGTCTAAAGGTACTTTTTCTTTTGTAAAAGTAAGGATTTTCCCCTAAGCTTTTAATTTATTTTAGCATTAAAAATAGGTAAACTAGACATTAAAATTTTGTGTAAATTTAATTGCCTCCCAATATTAGGAGTTAAATTTCAGATAGTAATTTTAAAATATTTTGTCAGAGTCCCTTCAGTATAAGAAATTTTAAATCAAAATAGGTTATAAGTTACCTGTTGTTTTTTAAGCCAGAGTGCTTACAAATTAATAAGAAACATAAAAATCTAATTTTATTTCTGTTGTTTGAATTTAGTGTTCCCATTCTTCAATATCTGTCATCCCACTGATGGACAGTATGGTGTAATAGAAAGAGCAATATGTTTGAAGTCAGTGTAGGAACTACCAGCTGTATGACTTTGGACAGCTTACTTAGCAGTGCTTCATCCTAACCTGTTCACAAGGTTTGGGTAGGATAGCTCTCCCCACAAATTGCTATATAAATAAATGTAAGCTATTGTTATCTTGTACTTTGAATTTAACTAGAAGTGTAATCATGATGTAATTTGTTGGGATTTAAATTATTTCCGTTGCTCTATTAGAAGGAGAAAATCAAAACAATTAACATTTGAGTTGAGCATTTCATCTAATATTGACTATTTTTTTTTCCAGGAGAAAATAGAAGCAGTTAACCAAGCCATAACCAATGAATATGAAGTTCGAAGGAAGCTTTTAGTGAAACGTCTAGATGTCACCGTACAGTCATTTGGCTGGTCAGACAGAGCTAAGGTATACATGACACTATGAAAGAACAGAGTATTGAAAGACATGAATCAGTAGAAGTTTCTTTGAAATCATTTAACTAAACTGTAAATTTTTATTTGATTTAGTAGTTGCCATTTACAATGTTAGTAGTGCGTGTTTATTTGCAAAGAATATAATCTGGTGGAATTTAGGGGGTTTTTTCCTCCAAACCTTGAATTGGGAATGTGTTATTGACTCATACCTGAATTTTTCCAAATGTATATTCTCATAACTCTTCCCAATACATTAATTAGTTTTCCCCTCTGAAACTGAACCAGCTTACTAAGAATCAGGGCTTATAGTTATCTTACTATTAGATTATTTTTTATTAAATATGTAAAGCCTTCACATGACTACATTTAACAAGTTGTTCAGCTGTTATGCCTGGATATTTATAGATTAATAATATTTTAGAGCTTGAAGAGAATTTGGAGACCATCTAGTCCAGTTCCTTTGTCTTACAGATAAAGAAACCTAAGACCTGAGTTCAAATCTGGCCTCAAACACTTATTATAGTTGTGTGACCCTGGGCAAGTCGCTTAATCTTGTTTACTTCAGTTTCTTCATCTCTAAAATGAGCTAGAGAAGGAAATAGCAGATTAGTGTATCTTTGCCAAGAAAATCCCAAATAGGCTCACAAAGAGTCTGACACAACTGAACAACACTTAATCTGAGCCTTTCATTATGCTGTGATACAGGGACTTTTGGGGCAACTAGGTGGCGCAGTGGATAGTCAGGAGGACCTGAGTTCAAATCTGGTCTCAGACCAAACATTTGACACTTACTAGCTGTGTCACCCTAGGCAAGTCACTTAACCCGAACTGCCTAGAATAAAACAAAAAAAAAAAATTAAAAAAATAAAGGAACTCTCAAAGAAACATAAGATCATAACCTGAGAGTCCAATTCCAATCTATTGAGAAATATAGTAGCAGGCATATTAAAATCTTATGTGCTTTCATAAAGATAATGTGATCTTTATTGTTGAGATCAGACTTATGACAACCCTCAGCTTTTCAGAATTCAGCTTTTAACTACTAATGAAAGCTTTATTCCCATTATTCCTTTATCTCTTAAACCTCAAAGCATTATGTAAATATCAGTTTTTATTATCATTATCAGACATGAATCTTTTATCAAGATTAGTTATCTGGTGTCCCAGGCCATAGATGATTGGAAGAAGTAACCTGGAAGTGGCTTAGGTGCTTTTGTAAAAGGCCCAAAGGACATAATGGCCTTAACAGAGGGGAAATTGAAAATATAAAGACAGACAAAAAATGATATTGTCTTGCAGTAAAATAATGAATATTCATTGTGATGACCCTGAATCATCGAGAAAAGATTAAACTGTACTAAATCTGGTTTTTTTAAAAGTAAAGCCATATATAATGAATGTTTGAGGAAAAAAAAACCTTTGTGAAAAAGAATTGAAAATACAAAATTTACTGCTAAAAGGAATAGTCTTTGTTACCTGGAAAAATAACAGGTGGGAAATCTTTGATAGGTAAGTGAAGTTTTATATTAGGAATATATATTATATTATATCTACATAATACATTAGGAGTCAGCAGCATGTAATTAAATACTTTAAAGGTATTTGAAGGAATTTGTTCTGACTAGTCTGGACATGGATCAAATATTAAACTTATTTCGTATTCTAAAATACCCAGCACAATGCTAGGCTAATAGCTGATGATAAATAATACTTTCTGTTTAATTGTTCCACTATGTGTAAAAACTTACCCTTCCAGTAAATGTGATGTCATTAATGTGTATAAGTCCTTCAACAGTGGAAATCACAGCCCCTTTGTTCCTTAGGAGGTGATCTTCATGAGTTGCTGTGGGTGAAAAAATTAATTACCTTCACCCAAGTTTTGGTATTGAGCTTGTCTAAACTTAAGTAAACTGGTCCTTGCATCCAAAGAAATGTAGAAACACTGAGGCTTTTGAGGTTAATTTACATATTCTAGAGCTTGTATATCACTGGTGTAGGCCTCAAGAATCCATGCCCTTGGGGCATTTAGGTGGAATGAGGAAAGCTTTTGCCCTGACTTTTGAATTCTTTCTCTGGGATAATTCCAACTAAAATCTCACTTTCTACAGGAAGCCTTTCCCAATACCTTTTAATTCTAGTCTGTTAATTATTCCCTATTTATCCTGTATGTAGCTCATTTTTCCATATTTGTTTTTTGTTTCCCTCATTAGATTGTGAGCTCCTTGAGGGCAAAGACTGGCCCCCCCTTTTTTTTTTATCCTCAGCATTTAGCACAGTGCCTGGCACTTAGTAAATGTTTATTGATAGTCATCAAGAGGTTAGTGGAGTGGTAAGAACCTTATTTCTTTGTGATAGAATCTCAGAATAGTACTTTAGTGATTCTTTCTATGATCTGAAAAAATAAAGACAGCTTACCTGTTTGGGATCACCTTTCTTCCCTATACTAAAAGAAAAGTTTAACATTCTTAATTTATTATTTCATACAAATCAATGGAATTTCATACTTGGTTTGTAGTGTGATTTGTTATTAAATCAAAAGAGAAAATAGATCAAAGGCTGAAGATGAAGCATCAGACAGCACTGCAATAATCTGTTTAAGTTTAATGTATTAATTTGGAAGAGAAAAGTTGCGTACATTTTAAAATTAAATTGTAAAAAGAGTCTTATTGGTAAAATGGACCCTTCATTGTTATTAATTATTATTATTATTATTATTTTAAGATAAGAGAATATAAAAGGTTTTGTGAAATTGATAAGAATATATGTGTGTGTATATAAATGAAATGTGAAAGATACTTTGTCCACTAAGGCTATATAGATGTGAGTTACTGTTAACAACAGTGAGGCTTGTGTGGCCCCTTCTAAAATTATCTGCTACTTCACAGAAACCTAAAGATGAGAGAAAAAGAAGAAAGAAAATTGTTTGGAATTGTGTCTATCTATATAGCATATGAATGTGTATATTATCATAGCTTAATGGGAGCAGCTGAATAAGAAGGCTTAGCAAGCCCTGCTTATAACCATGCCAGCATATTAATGCCAGCAGGGGGCAGAAAACACAAGCAGTTGCTATAAAATGACTAAAGCTCTGGGAAAACAAGCCAAATCGTACAAAAAGTCAGTTCTCTTTTACTCCCTAAACTTTGGCTTCTTAATATCATATGGACTCCCAGCCTAGTTACTGGTCTACCAACTAATTTCAGCCTTTGTATCACCATATACATGTTTACAATCTGACCTTGCAGTTGCTCTGCTTCCAAATTGTACCTGCCTTCTCAACCCTAATTGAAGATTGCCTTTACTGCTGCCAAGGAGATGTCTTATTCCTGGTTTATGTTAGCTCTCTCACACATTACAGTTGACCAATATTTTACTTTATGGCTTCCTGTCTAATAAGTCAGGATGGCCTCTGGACAACTTGGAAACAGGGGTTCCTTCAAGAACTCAGAGAGAAATTTGATTGTCCCTTTTCTTTGCAAATAGCTGAGATTTTTAACCAGTAGATTTGCTGTCTCCATCAGGGACCATGGGTCCTAGTATCAGGAATCATGATAGAATATGTGGTTCTGTACCTTGTCTGTGACTTTCTGGAATCAATTAGCCCAAGTATATGTGACCACCAGACTGCACAATTATTTATTAAGTGTGTACGCTTAATTATATATTCAGTGATGGTGGTGGTGTGGAAGTCCCTCCCATACTTTTCCAGCCCAACCCCTAAAAACTAATTGCTCAATTGAAGCTTGCTTTGTAGATCCAGTGAGATCTATATGAATATTAGGCATTGTCAAAGGTTAGCAGAGTCAGTATTTCAAGAATTACTAGATGAGTTGGTTGGTGATTTGTCTCTATGTTATCCTCTGTACTTCTGGAAGTCCTGCATATCATGTCAGATTAGTCCAAGTCATCTTCTGCTACCTACACCAGGACCAACTCTTTGCCAAATTGGAGAAATGGTAATTGAGGAGAGGTTAGAATTTTGCAGTACAGAATATGTCATAAGCACTACCATCCCCCCACCTCTGCCAGCACACACACCTCCTTAAAAGACCTCCAGCATTTTCTTGGTTTCAAAAGGTTATCCCTTGGTAATGCCTCTCATGTATTGCCTGAAATGCCCCCAAAAGCTTTTCAGTGAACACTAGATTTGGCAGGCAAATTAGTGTACTGAAAAGTTGATTTGCCTTACCCCTAGTCGTTAAATATCCAGATACACAATAACAAATAGCCCATTGTGGAGACTTAAACATCCATTGCCATATTGCTCTGCATGACCCAGACCTGTGCATTCATCTCTGTTATCTGGTGCAAAAAAGTAAATTAATAAATGAACATAAATTTATTAAATGCCATAGTGATTAAATTATGTTAGGCCTTGAATATGCAAAAAAGAAAAATGAGATAATCATTTCTCGTACGGGGTTTATGGTCCGATTGGGAAGATATAACTTATGTATGGAAATAGTGGCCAGAGAAGGAAGTTTTGATCTAGGTAGTCATATGCATTATGAATGGAGCCATAGGATAGTATATTGTCATACCCTTTCCAGTGGTAATGATAAATCGTTTTAGTTACTGTTTCCAGAGCAAGACTTGGAAAATAGGGGGGATTGGGATACATGTGTATAGTGGCAAGGCAGAGGTACAAAGATTCCACTGAGAGTAGGCCTTGGTGTCCTATGGTTGACTGGTTGGAATGTGAAACATGGTTTGGGACTAGCTATATATAGTGGATTAGGTGAGTTTTCATTCGTTCACTGTCCAATCCATGTAACTCAGTCCCAAAGCTGAAAGGACTAAAGAATTATGTAGCTTAATGGAAGGAGCTGTGTATAATCAGAACTGTTTTTTAGATATGGAGGGATATGGCAAAGGAATGCAGTGCCTCTTTATTATCCACAGTGGCAATAAAGAGTGAATGGCATTATCCCTAGCACCTAGTAGAATGGCAGAGGTAAATTCCCCAAAAGAAGTCTTGGGAGCCAGTAGCATACAATGACCTGGAATTGACAGAGGCTTTCCACTATTGCCACTCCACTCACTAATCCTTGGCATCTAGGGAGCCATTATGTAGGCAGAAAGGCTATCTAGATAACCCCAGAGATGTGAATGAATAAGAATGAGGTGTGATGGACATTATTCATAAGCACACTGGCATCCAGTCAGAAATGCAAGGAGTGGAAACAGGCCAAAATTTAAGGGAATCAAGTTGAATCAAGCATTTAAAGCCGTGATATTCCTTGTATTTTGGCTTCCTAATATCATGTAAGAGGTAAAATAGTGTAATAAAGTATTGGACATGGAGCCAGACCTGGGTAGAAATCCTGCCTTAGACATTCATTTATTGGCTGTGTGACCAAGGGCAGGTCATTAACCCTTCTTGACTTTGTTTCCTCATCTTTAAAATGGGGGTAGTAATAATCATTTCATTTACCTCATAGGATTGTTTTAAGTGAAAAAATTTATGTAAAGTTCTTTGCAAACATTAAAGCACTATAAGAATATCGATCATTGTTAGGCTGCCCCAGACCCGTATCACTAACCTAGAACTTGTCTTCTTACTCATCTTAGCTCATGGATTTTGGTATTCTGACACCCTGCCTAGTTTTTTGGTTTATATTTGTCCTGCTAATTCAGACTGTACCCTTTCATTCCCTGGAAAGTATTACCACTCCCTCTTTTTTGCCAGTGTAACTTTGGGAAAGTCACTTAAACTTTATGGGTCCTGCTTTTCTCATCTATAAAGTGAGGATGAACTCTGAGAATCATTTTAGCTCAGACCTTCTGTGATTCTGTGCTATTCCTTGTGTTGCCTACCAACTTTGCCCGTAAGAAGTTGTTCATAGTTTAATGTTCTTGTGCTTTTTGGACACGTGTCACTTTTTTCTTTAATCATGAAGTTCTTTGGTATGTCTGTTATTTTGAAAACAAGTTTGTCTTTTTCTTTTCTTTCATCAGAGTCAAACAGAAAAATTAGCAAAGGTCTACCAACCAAAACGTACCCTCTTGTCTGCTAAAAGTACTATTTCTGTTGCTCATCTCCTGGCTGCTCGGCAGGATCTTTCAAAGATTTTAAGGACAAGCAGTGGATCTATTAGAGAAAAAACTGCCTGTGCCATCAATAAGGTGAGATGTTTGTAATAGATTTGTCTCAAAATGCCTCCAAGTAAGTTATTAACATAAAGCATCTTTTTTGTTATTGTTGTTGTTAGTTTCTCACCTAAAATGTATTGTAAAAATTATGTACATCAAGTGATTCCTGTTTTTAATTGACAGCTTATAAAATGTGGAAACTAAGTTTTTTGTGTTTTGAAAATACTTGACAATTTTATTGATCTTGAAGGATTTGATGGATCAAATTTCACTCATAAATGAGATGCTACCATAAGTCATTAAGCATTTCCATTATAGTAACTTCCTTTCTAAAGTTACCGTAAACTTCTCTGTATCTGAGAATTCATCTATGTGAGTACCATTGGTGCAGATCACAGTTCTTCTTCCTATTCTCATCCTATGTGATTCTCATCAGTGTCCTCCCTAAATCCTTAATGAAGAATTTATGAATGTAATTGAGGCTTTCCTCTACTGTTTTAACATGATATGGATAGCAGTGCAGCACTTGAACTGTCCATCTGTTATCCCTTACTCCGACTATATGACTGGCCCATCTGTTTTTCCAGTTATACATTTTCTGAACGATATCTTTATTTGCTACCCCTTACACATAATTGATCATTGGTGATACTACTGAATGTAGCATGGAGTAGTAGTTAAGAAGGAACATTAGATTTGAAATAAGATAAATATGGTAGGTAATCACAGTTCTGACACTTAATTACCTATATTGCCTTAAGCAAATCATTTAACCTCTTAGGCTTCAATTTCTTTACATATAAAATGGAGTAGGAAGTATACTAGATGGCGTCTGAGGGATCTTCTAGCTCTAAATTTGTAACTCTTCTCTGTTTTTTCCTACCATACATCTTTCCATCTGAGTTACTTAGAATTTTGATTCTCTAGAGATTATGGTGGCACATGATTTTTAGCAATATAATATCACTGGGAGACTATTGGTTTTTTAAAAAATGGCTTTTTGTTTCAGGGAACATCTTGGATTCATTGAAAGTGATGCACAGTTTCCTAGTTGCAATCTATCCTATTCTGTTCCTTCTATTGAATTCTGGACCTAATTTACATTTGCCCAAGATACATGTACCGATACACTAACTCAATAAGTAGTCTGTCCAATTGCGTATCTTAGTTGAGGCAATTTAAAAAGCTCACGTTCTTATAGTAGCTTTGAGGTTTACAAAGAACTGTCTTCAAAACAACCCTGTGAGGTAGTTAATAACCTTGTATTATCCCTATTTTACAAAGAGAGATACTGAGGCACAGAGGTTAAAGTGACTTGTCCAGGATCATATGTGTCAGAAATAGTAACTGAACCCTGGTCCTGCTGATTCTTCAACTGTACCAATCTGCCTCCAAAAAATATTCCTTATCCATTTAGTTTCTAGTGTATGGATTGTTGAGCCAAACAATTATTTTTCTTTGCATGTGAGAAAATTTATAAAGACTTATTGGGAAAAAAAAATTATTAGCATTTATATTGTCAGAAAATCTTGAACTATAGGCTCATCCAAGAAAATTTAAGGGAATTTTTATCCATCAGAAATACTTAACAAGAGGTTGTGGGCCACCCTTCTTCATCCCATAAGTCAACAAACTAGTTTTCCATCATGATGATACGGCTCCTTCCACACAGCTCTTCCTCCTTACTCTCCATAAGTTCTGATATTGTTGTTTTAGAACTCAGTTATTCGTTCTGCTCATGAAATATGAAGTCCGTCATGGTATAGTGAACAGGACACTGGGCTTTGTGTTAGGAAAACCTGAGTTCAAATCTCACATCAGATACTTATTAACTATTTGACTTTGGGCAAGTCACCTACCCTTTCTCAGCTTATGTTTCCTTATCTATAAAATTGTGATGATGATAATAGCACCTACTTCATGGTGTTTTTGCAAGGATCAAAGACGATACGTATAAACACTTTGCTAGTCTTAAAGCTGTCATTGTGATGAATTTCAATATCAAAAATTTAGGAGATAGCATGGTGAAGATAACCACAAAAGTATAAATTGATCATTTTTCTTAATGGCCGTCTTCTGTTTGTGAAATAAAATAGTTTACAATAATGTTTTATTTTTTAGGTGTTAATGGGCAGGGTACCTGACAGAGGTGGTAGACCCAATGAAATTGAACCTCCACCTCCAGAGATGCCACCATGGCAGAAAAGACAGGATGGACCTCAGCAGCAAACAGGAGGCAGAGGAGGAGGACGAGGAGGTTACGAACAATCATATGGAGGACGAGGAGGTCATGAACATTCATACGGAGGACGAGGAGGTCATGAACAGTCATACGGAGGACGAGGAGGTCATGAACAGTCATACGGAGGACGAGGAGGTCATGAACAGTCATACGGAGGACGAGGAGGTCATGAACAGTCATACGGAGGACGAGGAGGTCATGAACAGTCATACGGAGGACGAGGAGGTCACGAACAAGGAGGAGGAAGAGGTGGACGCGGTAGTTATGACCATGGAGGTCGAGGGGGTGGAAGAGGAAATAAACAGCAAGGAGGCTGGACAGATGGAGGGAGTGGAGGAGGAGGTGGCTATCAAGATGGTGGTTATCGAGATTCAGGTTTCCAAACAGGTGGCTACCATGGTGGCAGTGGTGGCTACCAAGGAGGTGGTTATGGTGGCTTCCAAACATCTTCATATGCAGGAAGTGGATATCAGGGTGGTGGCTACCAACAGGACAGTAGATACCAAGATGGTGGTGGGCATCATGGTGAACGAGGTGGTGGTGGTCGAGGAGGGAGGGTGGTCGTGGAGGCAGAGGTCGTGGAGGTCAAGGTGGAGGCTGGGGAGGAAGAGGGGGCCAGAGTTATAATCAGGGGGGTCAGTTTGAGCAACATTTCCAACATGGAGGTTATCAATATAATCATTCTGGATTTGGACAAGGAAGACAGTATTCTAGTTGAGGCTACTAAAGATTAAATTTCAGCAGAGCTCAAGTAATAGAAACTTCATTTTAGAGGCCTGGTAAATATCTAGTTGAATTACTATGTGACCATGTATGGCCAGAAACTCCTGCTTTAAACACAGAATTATAGGTTGATATGCAATTCTGTTTTTTTAAAATGGATTTAGTTAATGCTCTTTTTTTGAGAAATGCATACTTTTCACCAAAATTTACAAAAGAAACCAAAACACATGAATAGCCATGTGTGTTTAATGACTAGACTAATATCGCAGTCAGAACATGCATAATGTTTTGAAGAAATTACTTGGAAAGTACCAGCAGTGGCTTCAATGTGCAGTTCTGAGAATAAGCATTATTCTCCTAGATTCTTTATAAATTTTTCACTGGGAAGCCCTCCCTCTTTCTTTATATCAATAATTTCTTTTTATGTATTTTGCTTATGTGGTACATATTTTCCAAGTATAGTTCTGCACTTAATAATTGGCCTTTTGTATTCAGAGTGAGATTATACACATTTGCTTCACTATAGAAGTGATAGGTATGTTTCTATTATATGAGCTCTTCTGCATATAGCACATTCGGTAGCCTTATCTTCTGTTAATTAAAAACTACCATTTGCTCAACTCTAAAGACCTTGAACATGGCCAAAATCTGCAAAGATCATTAAATCAAGCTAAGTTGTGAACTTCTAGTATGTAGGCATATAGTTAAATATAGCAATTCAAACTGACCTGCATCCATCCAAAACAGTTTCCTCCTACAACCTTATTTTTACTTGAAGTTGACTAGAAGGATCAGCAAACTGAAATTTGTCTTTTGCACGAGTTAATACCACTGGCTCAGCAAATACAAGATAGTTTGTTTTGGGCAGGTGCCTTTTTGTTTGGTCTTGTTTTTGTTTTTCTTTTTGTTTTTTGTAATTGAAGAAATGCACTACCAAGTAGGAAGATGGATGTTGCTAGTGGAGGAGGCCCTTTATTATTGCTGCAGAAACAAAAGCCTGGCTGAGTTGATGTTTTACATTATTCTTTACTGAAATCCACATGATGCTTCTTGCTGGGTTTTTGTGTACATAAACATTGTCAAGCTGTGAAAGAAAATGGCTGAAGGTGTGCTTTGTATGAAAGGTGAGCAATAAAGTATCCGTGTGTTCTCTGTTTTGTTTGTGCTTTATTTGAATGATTAGTTATAGTTAATGTGTTATTTTCAAGCAGTTACTGGAAAAATTAGAGATCCTAAAACCTTGCATAAGAGTACAGTACATTAAATATCCTGTGCATTTCCTTTAGCTACAATAGTTGAAATTTATATAGCTCTCTGAGGTTTGGAAAGCAGTGTGCATAGATTATTTGAGTCCCACAGCAACCCTGGGAAATAGATTCTATAGATGTTCTTTTCCCCATTTTACAGATGAGAAAACCAAAACTCAGAGAAGTTAAGTAGCTTTCCCACACTCACACACCAAGCAGGTGACAGAGAGGAGATTTGCACTCAGGTTTGTCTCCCTCACTTTGTCCACTTTTCCAAGCTGCCTTCATTACAAGTGATTAAAAATGGTGCATTTAAAGATAATTATCAGAAGCATCAAATAAGAGTAGTTGAAATTCCAAGTTTAGCTTTTAATGTGATTCCATTTGATTGACTGAGCCATCATCATTGTTTAAAAAGCACTGACACAAATTATAACCCCTTTTTACTTTTATTACACAGTCTTCATAAGATGTAATCAAAATTATGCATCACCTCGTGTCCAACCTCTTGGTGATGATTTGTTCCAATGTAGCTAGGCTGGTTCATGTACAATAGACATCCAATTCATTTTTGATCCTATGTCCAACACCTTTCCTAGGCCTTTCTAAAGTAGAATAATCTAATAACTGCTTTGTGGCCACTGGGTGTAGCTATTGATACATATATCAAGCAAATGTAATTATAATTATTTTAAGTACATTTGTGTTTTCTCTGAAGACTTGCTAAATGCAATGCATTACATTTTTCCAAATAGTCATGACTTGAAGAATATGCAGATGTGTGACTTGTGAAAAGATAGCTTGACTTTAAGCCCTATATTGAGCCTCCAAAACTTTTGTCTCTTAATATTTTTTCCATTAAATACTTAAAATTGTATTTACTATTGAGAGTTTTACATTAGATATAAAACTTACTTTATTTCAGGTGCACTTATGTTGACTGCAACACTCAACTGAATTTGCAGTTTTCTTCTCTCAGATTCTACAACCTACCCACTAAACATAGAGTTTTTCTAGCAAGTAACATTTTTAAAGGATGTAATATCTTTTTATCTAGTTTTATGGATAAATAAGAAACTAATATGATATACTGTGTGTTACAAATGTGGACAACATTTAAGAAGAAAAATGATCAAGATTTTTTTATTTAATGGATTGAAAAATTTATGTCTACAACTCCTGTTTTTCAACAGAAAATGAATTGTGTTCCTGTTATTTTCTGCCTTTATATAGTTCCAGTTCTCTAAAAATAGTAACTCTCTTCAGCCTACTGAAGATCTTAATTTCTTGTCAAATTTTTTTTTTAATATTGTGAAGTACACTTATTGGCATAAGGGAATAGTTTGAAGAGCTTTACATTATAGTTTAAAAAAAAATTTCAGAAAAAATGCTTATGAGGAAACAAGAAATACGTATTTCCTAGTAGGAAGTCTTTGAAATGTGAAGCATTAAATGTTTTTCTCTTGAACAAACATGACACCAGGACAGAATGCTAACATTTTATATGAAAGTTATTTAAGAGCTAAATCTGCTTGTTTTCTTATTTCTTACAGCCAACCTGAAGTATTGACAGCACTTTAGCACAATGCTGGGCACATAGTAGTAAACACTCAGTAAAAAACTTATTGAGTGATTGATGTAAGCTAATCTAAGCAGAGATAATAAAGTTCATGCAATTTCCATGTGGTTTCAGTGATGTCTTAAGTTTCATCTCATCTACATATTGGAAAAATTGCTTAGACATTTTGATAATTAGTTTGTGGTATTAAAGTATGCATTCACACATCAGGGTAGACTAGTTCATTTGTTTAAAGGTATCCTCTACTAAATGTGGATCTAAATGTTTAGAGCAGGTTCCCCACCCCTGGTTTAGAGGTTCTAAACATATCTCTGAGAAATGCGAATGGTTAAAATGATTAATTATATCATCTTTTAAAATATTTTAATAGCCCTGTCTTGGAGAGAGAGAAAAATCTGCTTTTTTTATTTATTGCTCCAAGGAATTTTCTTGAAAATTCATGAAATTAGACATTCTTCTGCAGTTTGTAAAGTTGTATATGTGAAAAAATCCTTAAATAAGCAAAGCAATGAAACATGGATGCTACATCCATCTTTCTTCAGGAATGAGTATGGAAAAAAATACAGAAAATAGTAAGGTTGTGCACTGACCTCCATTAAAATCTGATGGGAAGAAATTGTTGTCCTTTGAGAATTTACTATCTACAGTATCTGAGTTGGAAGACTATTGTCTAATCTGTACTTAGAAACAAAGTTTTTCAAGAAAGTAATAATTGAAGATTTTAAAGTACCCTGAAGGGTATATCAGCTGAAAATGTGTTTTATTTATAGATTCTAAAGCCAGTTTTTTGTTATCACTTTTGCTTTGATTTGAGCATCATTTCTTCTTAAGAAGTCAGATAATTTTTTGGTGTATTTTTTCAGACACTGCAAATAATTAAGTTGTATCTCTTAATACAAGTAAAATAGATAATAAAGTGAAAGACTTTTGAAGTATTTTGTCATGCAAACAATTCTTTCAAATGCAATAGAAAGTTCTGCCTTTTGAATGCTATATCTAAGAGATTTATATTGCATTTAAAAGAATTGTTTTCAAATGTCACAGAAAAGAAGAGTTTTCAAATGTTTCACATAGGAATCCAGTTTTGTCCAGATACCTTCTACAAGATGGTGGCAAGGATTTTGCATGACAAGACTTTTGTTCTGCTTTGGATACAACTAATATAAATTTGGAAATTCACTATCAAAAATAGTCAGATTGGCTATTCCCTATGTCCAGCATGTATTACCTCCTCACTTTCATCTCTTCAACTTGCCTTCCTTAAAAGAGGAACTTATGTACCACCTTCTGTGGAGGAAACATTTCCTGAATGCCCTAGTTCAGGGGTGGGGAACCTACAGCTTCGAGGCCACATGTGGCCTTCTAGGTCCTCAAGTGCAGCCTTTTCACTGGGTCCGAGTTTTACAGAATAAATCCTTTTATTAAGGGGATTTGTTCTGTGAAGTTTAAATTCAGTCAGAGAGCTGCATTTGAGGACCTAGAGGGTCACGGGTGGCCTCAAGACTTCAGGTTCACCCCTGCCTAGCTGTTAGTTTTATCCTGCATGTTGAGTTGGATTAGATGTGTTAGTATAGAAAAAATTATCTTAATTTCTAAGCCAGCAGTTTGGGAAAGTCTATGAAGGTGATAAAAATAAAGGAATAGTTCAAAATAAAATCCTAGACATTAAAAGGAGCTTATAAAAGTTTGTGTGAACTTGTACCATTTTCTGAAAAAAGAGAGTAATGGATCAGGTTACCTTTATTGTAAGATTCTGTGGTTCCATTCTCCCTTCTATCCCTAAATGTTAAAAAAAATGCAAAAACCAAAAAATGACTGTAGATTCAAAATTGTAATAACTTTTGCTTCTCTAAGTGCTCAAGATAAGGTCATCCTTTCAGTAACCATTCTGTGAATATCAGGTGATAGCAAATATATATTGCTTAAAAATTGTGGGAAATTTGAATTTTAGTAACTTCAGAAGCCCAGTTCCTCTGCAAACATTCCAGTCATGCTCTAAGAATACACCAAAAGTAGTAATAATAAAACCAAGGAGAATTAGCTATAAACTCCATCCAATCCAAGATTAAACAAAAGAAAGAAAAGGTTTTAGGAATCCTAAGAAAGTACAGAGCAGAGACAATCCAGGGTAGGTAGAAGGCAAAATACATAGTAGCCTAATCCCCGTAACAGGAGACCAGGCCAGACCCTCAGCTCTCATGGGGATATCTATGCTCCCCTTCTGTGGCAGGAGGTAAGGTTAGTCTGATATCTAGCACTGAGCAATCAAGAGGACCCCCCTGTTTGCAGCAAGAGATAGGACCAGACCTATCAAGGTAGCCTGTGCTGAACCCAGCATGCTGAGACCTTAACCACAAAGACAAAGCTAGACAGTTTCTGCAGAAGACGGAGCCTACATTTACCCACCAAATTCAGAATGAAGCAGGGCCTACCCAAGGCGCCTAGGTGTATTGGAGCAGTTTGACTCAAGCATAAGCCCCTAATCCAGAAATTGAGGCTGGAAATATAAGTAAAGAGAAGAAATTACCAAACATAACAAATACCCTAGACTGAGAAGGGCCCAAAGGGTAGACGAGAATAAGCGGTGACTCCACAGAATATCTAAGAGCCCCTAAGAAAATAATGACCTGGCAACAATGACTATAAGAGTGCCTGGAAGATATGAAATAAGATACGAAATGAAATAGCAAAGAGAGGAAGATGGCATGAATTAAAACTTTAGAAGAGACAATGGTAACTCTTAGCCAAGAATGGGACTCCCTAAAAATTAGAATGGGTCGAACAGAAAACCAAGCTCTCCATGAGAAAACAAATATTTAAACATCAAAGTTTTTTTTAATGTAAGCTATATATTATTAAAAAGAATTGACCTAGAAAACAGGTGAAGGATAATCAAAAAATCATCAGACTACCTAAAAAAAATCATGATCACAAATAAAAATCTCAAATTATTTCAAGAAGTCATAAATGAAAGCTTAGAATCAGATGGCTAAATGAAAATAGAATCCAATGATTATCCCCTTATAGAAACCCTAAAATGAAAAATCCCAAGAATCCAAAGCTTCAAGTTAGAAAAAATATTTTGCAAATGGCCAAAAAGAAAGTTCAAGGAGCCACAGGCAGAATTGCACAAGACTTGTTTAGCTATTGTATACCCCCCTTCTCCAACTCCCATGTAGAATGTAAGCTTTTAGAAGACAGGCCCTCATTATAAAAGAAATAATAGGCTTACAACCAAAAATAACTTATCTGGCCAAAAAACAAGTAAAATTAGTGGTAGGAATGGGCAAGTGGTTTGAAAGGACCTTAAATGAAATAGACTACCAAGTATTCCTGATGGAGAGGCCAGAAGTAAGTAGACAACTTTGAAATGCAAATCCAACAGACAAGAGGAATACAAAAATGCTCTTATTTCATTGGGAAGGGATTATTTTAGGATAAATCAAATACATGCTAATAGAAGATAAAGAAACATCCTCTCAAAGAGAGTTAGCTCTGTCTTCGAGGATTGTAGAGAAAGTTTAGTAAGGCAGGCAAAGGGCCTGTTTCAAAAATTCACAACTGAAAGGAGAAATGGAAACTACAGAAATTTGCCAATTTATAATTTAGATAATGAATACTTAAAAATGTAAAATATTGAGGTGAGTAGAAGAAATAGATTAGTTAGTCTCAGATAATATTAAAAAATTACACATTTTTATCAAATAAAAATACAAAAAGTAAATTGAACAAGCTATGAATGAACTACCCGGAGTGGGAGAGAATTCCAGAACCAGATGGATTTATAAATTAATTTATCAAACATTTAAAAATCTTACAATATTATATAAATTGTTTAGAAAAGAATGGAGTACAAAAATAGAAGAAAAGAGCACACAAATACCTACTATTGACCCCAACTTCAATCATATTTTGAAGTGAAAGTGCTTGAGCTCTAATTTAGATATTAGTATTAAATTAACATTATGTTAGTGTTACTGAACATAATTTTTAAAAATGTTAAGTGAAATAGAGATGTAAAGAAAACAGTTTAAAATGTTGCTTTTATCATTTCTAGACTTGATTTTATATACATATATGTGTGCATATATGTGTATGTATATGTATAAATAGGAAAAGTATCAAAATGTATAATTGCAAAAAAATTAATCATGTGGCAAAGAGCAAGATAGGAAATGCAAAAGCTGAGTGCCATACTGCTAACTGCACAGAGTGTCTGAAGACCTCAAGAAAGTTGGGAAGATCCCTTTCAAGATTTGTGAGGGAATGGAGCCACATGGCAGTGTAGCAGGAAGCAGAGCAGCAATCTTCCCCCCATAAAACTTCTCCAAACAGATCTAGAAAATACACCAGATCAAATCCTGATGTCCTAAATCCTGAAAAATAACCAAACTGTTCTTACCCTTAGGCCTAACCATATTGCTGCTAGGTCTATGCCAAAAGAGATCAAAGAAAGAGAAAAGGGACCAATGTATACAAAACCAGCCACTTTTGTAGCAAAAAAACTGGAAAGTAAGGAGTGCCCATCTTCAGGGGAATGGCTAATCAAATTATGGTAAATGAACGTAATGGTATATTACTGTGCCCTGAGAAATGATGAATGGTTTCAGAGAAACTTGGGAAGACCTGTGTGACCTGATGCAGTTTAAGTAAACAGTTTGTACTATGAATAAAAAGGTATTATTAAGTACCTTGTCCTAAATAAGCAAGCCATTCCTTCCCCTCCAGGAGCTTACATGTTAGTAGAGGAAGCCCATACATAAAGGGAACTTAGAATTGGAAAGTGATGAGGCAATGGGGTAGAGAACATGAATGGTCTGGTAGTGTGGTGCCTGGACCCAGGAAAGATAAGGTGAAAACTCGCCCATCAAAACCAGCATCCCAGGCACAGACTGAATTTTGGTGATGGGAGGAAGAGAGGCAGAGTACAGGTTGCATGGCTTAGAAGTGACTACAACATTGTAAAGAAAAACAGGTTTGAAAGATCTAAGAACTTTGATCAAAGCCATGGGAACCACAATTCCAAAAGACCAGTGATGAAATATGCTACCTTACCTCCTGACAAAGCTGATTGACAGTAGGGGCAGCTGTCACATATATTTTCAAATGTGGTCAACGTGTTTTTGTTTGTGTGTTTGAATATGTATATTTTGTTATAAGGGAGGGTTTTTTATTTAATTGGAGGGATTGGGGGAGATGGGCTACTAAGAGTGATGTCAAAAGACAATAAACAAACTAATGGCATTGAAGATTTTTTTCAAATGCACAGAATAGAATAGAAGAAAGTTTATAGGGAGATACAAACAAGATTGCTTTAAAACAAACATTGAATTTATTGTATACTTCTTTTAGAATGAAGCTATATATAGTAGAGTCGTAGTTTAATATACAGTCCTCTGGATGGTGGACAAATCAGGCTTTTGTTCAGAAAGGCATTATGCAGAAGGCATAATACTAGAACGCACTTAAGCATGTTTTCAAATGATGAGGCATAATGGGAAATTTAAGAAAATACCAGCAATAGTAGTCAGATTCAACAGTGACTAGAAAGAGAATGGCCCCGGAGAAGTTGAGGAAATGGGAAACCTTAATGAAACTCATAACAAAGAGCTGCCACATAGGACTACATCCTATAGACACAAGTCAATAGACTAAATTCACATTGCTCTGAGTATGACATTGACAAAAGATGATAGAGAGATCGAATATTTAATCTTTATCCATGAAGGGACATGACAATTGTCATATTTATCCCAATAAGTATGCATATTTCAAACAAAACAATACGTTACAGCAGATTATATAGTTATCCCTCACTTTAGAAGAAAAATACAAATTTTCTATTTAAATGATTTTTTATTTCTTTTAATTGGCTATTTTAGTTTTCTGTAAGTTGTTTTTTTAAACCAACACTTTTCACATGTCTGTTCCTTTTCACTAATTCATTCTAGTAAAGAAACACAGTAAAAAATGGGTTTTCACGTGCTAAAGCACTCAGACTGCTGCTTTCCTTAAGTATTTTTAAGTTAGGTACTTATAGACCCATAAGAATACTCATTTTTTTAGTTTAGTTTTTTTGTTTGTTTTGTTTTGTTTTGTTTTGATGTTTTGGTGAGGCAGTTGAGGTTAGGTGACTTGCCCAGGGTCACATAGCTAGTAAGTGTAAGGTGTCTGAGGCTGGATTCGAACTCAGGTCCTCCTGACTTCAAGGCCAGTGCTGTATCTACTACCCACCTAGCTGCCCTGATTTTTTGGTTTTATCAAAAGCAATCTAAATAATTTTCTTCAATTAATTTTCTTTATCTTGGAATCTTTTTAGTACAACTAAATCTATTACATACATTTTAAAATTATTTTAAATAATTGAAGCCATTAAATCCATAATGTAATCGGCAAGAAAATAAAACCAAAAAAAATTTGCCTTTGTTGAAGGGATGTACACAAATGGAAACTCTTTTTACACTGTAGGTATTAAACATTAATCTTGTTTAGTGTTTGAAAAGAAGTATGGCATAGTAAATAGAGAAGCAGCTTATGAGTCAGGAAAACTTGGCTTCAAGTCTTGCTTCTGAAACATACTATATGACTCTGGGTAAGTCACTTCTCATTACTACTAAAGCAACTCTTTACACTTTGTAAGTTGTAGAGCAAGTGCTCTACACTTTACATAAATTTACATGGATTGAGGAAACTTCCTCATTGTTGCCTATACCAACGAAGTCACAGGTACAGTCTCTCCAGCGTATATATGTACTGATGGACTTTGGGCTGTCCATCTAACTATACACCTGTAATAGGAAGACTATTTCCTAAGGGCCAGTCTATATTGCCCTGCCATATGGGTTGGCCTAGCTTTTCCTGGGACTCTCCCTACATGCAGGTTAAGATACAGCTAGGTCTCAATTAGTGCAGAGAATTAATACTCTGAAGTGGTTGCATTATTTGAATTTGCACTACAAACTTCCATTGGGTGAGAAGCAGTTATCATGTTTTATATAATTATAACTTCAAGTACAAATTTGAATATGTGCAACCACTTCAAGGGATTCATTATTTGAATTAATCAGGGGCCTAGCTATAGTTCTTTTTCTTAAAAAAGTATTGAAACTGTCCATGAGACTTGACTGGCTTAGGGGACTAAGACCTGGCATGTTGACAAGGCCTCTCTAGTCACCTGGAGCACCAGAGGGGACACCTGAGAGAGGCCACAAGGAGCTCTAGCTCTCTTTCTTTGTCTTCTGATCATGGACGAACAGCATGAACAACACTGGGGAGAAGTGGTCAGCTGAATTAATATGGTGTCCTCATTGAATATGATTGTTAAATATCCTTCTCTTTGTATGACTAGAAAAAATTTTAGTTAACCACTAAATGTTCCACAAATGTCTCTTCATTCAATCATGAACCTAAACTCCTAGGACACTAGCCTGAGTCAGATCATAGTCTGGACAATAATTACTCTTCATCCATTTGATTCTTCCTTATGGACAGTTAGACCAGGTTTTTTGATGATTACAGTTTCCATTTAATAGACTTTGCAATGTTCTGGAACTTGATGTAACCAGTACAATGTTGTCTGAAAATAGGAACATCTGAAGGATCTCAACACCTATAGAATCACTCTTCCAGTTGCACCCTTTGATGAATGTCTTCCATGATAGTAGCAAACATCTTTAGCCAACATTTCTCCCTATTTTGTGTTTTGCTTGAATAAGTAACAGGGTCATCAAACAGTTGTCTCCGGGTTTGCGTCTTCACCAAGGTAGTGCATTAAAACAATGCTGCATTTAGGGTCAGAGAACACAGGTTTGAATCTCAGTTTTCCTACTTACCATCTTTGTGTTCTTGGGCAAATCACTCAACATCTCTCAGATCTCTTCTAGAATCATGATCCTGTGATGAAGATTCCTCACTATCTTCTTGGTAAAGAGCACATTCTCTAAGAGAATCTTCAGAGCCAGTCATATGGTTCCCCTCCTGGGCACCTGGAACCCACTTTCCCCAAATCCAGTCTCAAAAATAAATGAACTTTTAGTTCTTTTGGGCCATTGACAATTATAATAATTGAGATACAATGCTTCAGGTGTCTCAATACCCATATTACTCAAAGATTCGTGATGGTGATGATTAATGAAGATCATCTCTCTCCAAAGACGAGTTTTTATTTATGGGAATTACATAACCAGTTACAAACAAAGAACACTGAGAATCATCTTTCAATGACCAAGAGTTCTTTTTTTAGCAACAAGATTCCTGGAAGAAAAAAAAAAGTTTGCTTTCATTGTCGTTGTTTTGTCTGTAGCTAAGGTTTTTTCCCTCCTCAGATTTCATCATCTAAGACTGGAACGTTTCAGGACTTACAAAAAAAAATTCTAAACCCAGTCTAACTGAACAAATTTCTACTAAAACAAGCATGCTATTTTATAAGGTACTGAGTATGTTTAGGGAGTTTTCCTAGACCATATCTTTGACTTCCACAGAGGCTTCAAATGCTACAATTTAAGGTGATAGAAACATAAAAAAAGACAAAGTAAACTTAATACCTGTGACGACGAGGAAGTAAAAAATTCTGGTGTCTCCCAAAATGAATATTAAAAGGGCATGTGGTGAAGGATTCCAACCAGACTCATAATGAGGATGGAGTGATACAGATTTATGTCCAGAGCCAAAACTTAGAGTGTGCTGACAACACTTGTATTCCTTCAGCAGGTAGCAATCATTGAGTTTAGCATTTATTTAGCAAAACAAAATGGTTAGAATAGGAGGCTACCAGATCATGGGTTGATTCCCTAACCAAGGCAGCTCTACCCCTGGTGAACTCTTCCTTGGCCCTTTCCTGCACTTTTCCCTCTCCTGGCAGTGGTCTTCCCAGTAGTAGTCTCTTCCACTATGGGAGGCCCTGCAATTCCTCACCGCATCCCAGCCCACCCAAATTTGATTTGTTGCTTACCCCCAGGCACCAGAATTACCGGTTAGACTTTTACTTCAACTCAAAGAGATTTGACACTTGTTTGATCTCTACCCTCACTAAGTTTATAAAAATGATAAAAGAATATCTCTCAGGAAAAAAAAGCAAATACAATCAATTTAGAGAATGGGTAGTGCATGCACAAACAACATTCTTTTCACCCACAGACAAATGGTTTGAAAGAAAGAAAAAACAAGAGTATTAGATTTGGTATATAGCAGTCTTCATTATTGTTTCTGAAATGCTTAACAGATCAGTCACTGGGGGAAGGGGGAGAAATAAATAGTACATTGATTTTCTGCTGCACAGACAGGGACCTTCCATCACACTATTGGGACAGGATGACCTGATGAGTTCACAAGGCAGGAATATTTTTTTGATCATTTTTCCAGACTTGGAACATGGTCTTTGGGATTCCTCATCTTGCTTTATGCAACCGCCAAACTCATTAGACATTCAGTTTCCCCATCCAGGGGTCAGCCATCCTGCAAACCAAATGAAATACTGATTATATTAGTTAACTTTATTTAACATAATAGGTGTTTTCTCTGAACATTTGTGAAAAATGAGTTTTGGAGCAGATATTGAGTGCCCAGGGCTATACTGGTCTCAGAAAAGATGCTTGATCTTGATAAATTTTTGTCAGTTACTTCGATCATAATTAGGAATTGGGAAAGGAATTATGATGTCATTGGTATAGGTGAGGAAATTTCCCCCACCCACCTGTTCAGGAGTTTTACAGCCATGTCTGAGTCTTCGTGACCCCATTTGGAGTTTTCTTGGCAGAAATACTGGAGTGATTTGTCATGTCCTTCTCTGGCTCTTTTACAGAGGGGGAAACTGGGGCAAACAGGATTAAATGACTTGCTCAGAGTCACACAGCTAGTAAGTGTGTGAGTCTGGATTTGAACTCATGAAGATGAATCTTCAGACTTCAGGCCATCCACTGTGCCACCTAGCTGTAGATCAGCACTTTATAGTAATAGAGAGCTGCCTAGAACCCTGAGAGGGTTATACATGACTTGCTCAAGGTCACACAGCCAGGATTTGTCAGAGACAGGATTTCAACCCCCATAATTCCTGACATTGAAGCAAATTCTCTAGCCACTTCACCAAACTGTCCTACAGTCTAATTAGACAAATTCCCAGGAAACAATGACTGTGAAAACGCTACTCAGTCAAATGCACCTCCATTCGGTAGAGAAGGAAGGGACTAGGGAACAATGCCACACACCTTGTCAGAATGGATCACTAGAAAAGTTGGGTTTATTTAACATTTTTTATTTGTTACAAGGGAGGGCTCTTTGGGTGAGAATGGGTGTATACATGGAAATAATTAATGGAAGATCAATATGTGTTATACATTACGTAACTATAATTATGTATGATGATAAGCAAGTACTAACACATAATTATAAACATGTTTTTAAGAGAAAGGACTTTCACACTTTCATATACAATCCCAACTTCACTACTCCCCTCCACCCCAGTACCTAATTATGCTGAGAATCTATCAGGTAACTGATTGACCTCCAAATACATGATAGACAACTGGGAGATTCACAGCCTCCCACAAACAAGAAACAGTCTAGTACAGGGTGAGATGACAAGATCCCCCAAATCCATCAAGTGTTTGCAAATCGGGTGACCCCTCTCTACTCAAAGACCCACTTCCTCTGATTTATACACCCAAGGCTTAGTAGAGAGTACTCTTCTCACTCAAAGCTACATTTAGAGAGTGTTGAGTTTCTCGTGGAGCAGCAGGGCAAAGTCGTTGAATAATGGATTTCTTTTTGTTTGAAATATTTTGAGGAGAAGAACAAAAAATAAATCCAAGATCTCTTCCCAAATTGTGCTGAAGGCAAAATCAATAAATCTCACCCCAGTCTGATAAATAAAAGGACATCTGTCTGACTGAGAGAAAGGGCAGGACTAATTCTCAGACACTTTAAAATAAACACAGCTCAACTTAGATCAGAGGGACAAACAGAAAGGAGGCCAACAGAGAGGGGGTGGGGACAAAGGAAAGAGCAGACAATAGAGCTGTGTGTGTGAGCAGACAAAGGAGACTTCACATCTAAGACTGCTTGTTTGTTCCTGCCAGTGAAGACTGAGGACATTTGGGGAGGTTAAGTATTTTACACATTGATTATTTCACATTATAGGAGAGTCAAGTCTATTCAACACGAATGCACTGAATTCCTTTCCTTACCACCTCCCCCCCCCAAAAAAAAAGCTTTATCATATGCATTGTTCAAGGAGACATTGCCTTTTCATTAGTCAGGCATGGGTTACTGAGAGCATCCTTACTTAAGTGGGAGATTGGATTAAAAATAGTATTAGAAAGCACTTATCTAGTGCTGTAAGTTTTGCAAATATTATCTCATTATATCCTGGCTTTGCAACTTACTACCTCTGTGACCTTGGGCGCACAACATATAATTTAACCTCTCAGTTTCCTCATCTGTGCAGTAGAGTTAGATTAGATGCCCTCAAAGCTTCCTTCTAGCTCTAAATCTATGGTCCATCTAGACAGAATTTTGTCTGGTAATAGAATAAGGGTCCTTCCTTACTGCTCTCTATGACAACAAACACCAAACTTTAGGAAAAATAACACTGAGTTTCCTCTCTTTTCTTTATTCTTTGTGGATCTATCATCAATGGCTTTATCTATATTCTGCTTGAACCAATTTCTATGTTCAGTTTATTTTTTCTCATGGAATAATGAGTTTTACATGCTTCATCTTTTGTGGTTGATTTAGGAACAGTCCTACATTGCAATTGAGCCAACTAGAGATATTTTAAAGTCTTTCCTCCCCCCTTGAATTCTCTGATAGCCACCTCTCATTTCTACAGGATGTTAAACCCTGCCATGTCACCAAAATCTCATTTGGTGGGGTAAGTTTTACCACTACCCCTACTTTTGCCCACCCCTTTCCATCTGTCAATCAGAATTTATTAAACATTTACTATGTACTAGACACTGGAGAGACAAAGACAAAAATGAAAGTGTCTCTGCCCTCAAGAAGTGCTCTATGTGCCCCTTGTCCTGGGCCACTGCCACCCCCAGATACTGTGCCCTGCTTCTCACCTGAAACAATCTGGTTAAATGTATTGGTGCAGAGAAAACATTATAATGCACATGATAACTAGTATTTATATAGGACCTTAAGATTTACAAAGGGCTTTGCACATGTCAGTTCATCAAATCCTCAAAATGACCCTGGGGGTAGATACTATTATTTTCTCCACTTTGCAATTAAGGAAACTGAGGCTGAGAGAGGTTAACTTGCCCAGGATCATACAGCTAGTTAATGTCTGAGGCAAGATTCAAACTCAAGTCCTCCTGAGTCAAAATCCAACGTTATCCACTAAGAATAAGGTCATTGCGTAATACATGACTCTCCCTAGAAATCTGCATGATTAGAAATCCTCTAGCCCGATCCTCTTAGAAGCCAGCCAAGGAAAGTGAGATTCAAAGAGTAACTTGCTCAAGGCTAATCAGTAGGTGGGCAAAGAGAGGGCTAGAACCCAGATATCCTTATATTCTCACTGTTGCCTCCATGTGTTGCCTCCATATGAAAAATCTGACTAGCACTAGGCTTGGTATCAGAGAGTAATTGGGTTCATATCCTGCATTTGTCGCTCACTTATTACCTTGGGCAAATCACTTAATCTCTCTGGGTTTTCATTTCCTTATGTGGACAGTGAAGGGCTAGGCTGGGCATGGTGTCACCTGCTTATAATCCTTGCTACAAAGGAGGCTGAGGCTGGTAGATCTCTGGAGCCTGGGATTTCTTAGCTACGGTGGGCTAAGGCGATCAGATGTCTGCACTAAACAGTGAAGTGAGTCCCAGGGAGTAAGAGGTGAGAGGGAATGGGGCATCAGGGTACCTAAGGAGAGATAACTGGCCCAGGTTGGAAACAAAGAAGGTCAAAGCTCCAGCGCCAATCAATACTTGGATCAGCCCCTAAGCTGTCCCTGTACTTCCAGCCTGGGGGAGATAAAATTGTTTTGAGTTTTAAGAATAAAATAAAATAAGAGAGTTGAACTAGATGGCTGCTGAGATCCTCTCTGACTTGAAAATCTATAATCCTATGACTTTAATTCCATTTTTATACATCATCGACACCAACCTCACATTCTTGGCTGGCTTCACTGGTGTCTGCTCCATTCTGGTCCAGTTCATATTCTGTGCTCTGGGTCACCATGTTCATCATGTTGACCTGCCCCCCAGGCTTCTCATTCTCCCATCGGGCAAAGCCTTTGTCCTTTCCAGCTTTGCCATGGAACTTGGATTTCATTTTGGGGAAGGTATGAGATCCTGAGTCACCCCATCCAGACTCAGGCCACATGGGCTCTGTTTGAGTGGCCTGACTGGTGGTAGCCCGCTGAAGGCGCACGGAGATCTTTCGAGAGGAGCCTGTCACCAGGGTGATGGCTCGGCTGTCCAGGTCCTGATGTCCAGCAGCAACACCAGGGAACTCAAACACCTCATCCTGAACTGTAAGGGGAAAGGAGTCTGATGTTATTTAATATAGAGAATCACAGAATTATAGAGTTTTAGAGTTCAAAGGGACTATAGTAGCCTTCTAGGCTAACCCATACCAGAATAAAGAATCCCTACTACATCACACCTGACAAGTGGTCCTCCAGCCTCTTCTGCTAGTCCTCCAATGAGAAGTAACCTACCACCTATAGAACCAGCCTATTCCATTTTCTGAATTGAGTTCAGGAAGTTTTTCCTAACATCAAGCCTCAATTTGTCTCCTTGCAACTTCTACACGTTGCTCCTAGTTTCACTCTCTAGAGATAAAGAGAGCACGTCTAAACTCCTGTTTTAATTCCACGTGACAGCCCTTCAAATATTTGAAGACAGATATGCCCTTTTCTCACAGTTCCCTTCTTCTCTTTTCTGAGCTGGATACCTATAGTTCCTTCAATGGTTCCTCATGGGACATGTTGACTCAAGGCCCTTTATAATCCTGCTGCCTTCGTTTGAATGCTTTCTAGTTTATACCTGGCATCTTAGGAATAAACACATGTAAAAGTTATATTTCAAAGTCCCAATACCTCTATACCCATAAGACTGGGTCACAAACTTAACATTAGGCTGCCAATTACTAAAAGTTTATAACATACTGCTGTTATTCTAGACTGTAGGAGTTCTTAACATGAGATCTGTGAATTTATTTTTTTTAATATTTTGATAACTAGATTTTTTTGTAATCCTATGTATTTTATTTTATGCATTTAAAAACATTATTCTTAGAAGGTGTCCATAGTCTTACCAGATTGCCAAAGATGTCCAAAACACACAAAAAAAGAGCCCCTGTTCTAGAGTATTGGTCTGAATATGAGCTGCCCCTAAAATTATGTCTCTTTGAAAGGGAAAAAAAAAAAATATATATATATATATATATATATGTGTGTGTGTGTGTGTACACACACGTGTATATATATATATATATATACACACACACATACATAAGTATGTATAGGCATATACTGAAAAAAATGTGATTGTAGTTTACTCTCAGGTTCTATATGAGCCAATTGAGGAGGAAAGTATAGCTTGTGTATGGACCAATATGGAATATATTTTTTCATACTACTGGGATCTGAGTGATTAAATAGGCTTAGATATAGAGACCAATAGGAATAGAAGAATACTACCTGGAGGCAATGATGGGCTTCCTGGAAGAGAGCCATGACCACTTCCAATGGAGGTCCCTCTTGCAAATTTCCTGCATGCCAG